TAATGTAGAGATCATAGAGGCGTTTGGAGAGAACATTCAGAATATGTCTCTACATATTAATTCATCTTCTCTCATTTTCCTTTCCGTACTTGTTTCGTCAGTGTTATTTGGGGTTAGTTCTGGCAATGGCACCAGTCTGAATCCAAGATATAAAAGATCTTCAATGTTGTAAGAAGAAACTTCAGCTTGTCCTTCCATCTTGCAAAGTTCGACCCGTCGAATCTGTCAAGCCTCTAAAGGTCTTGATTCATGTTAAAAGTAACGTTTGAGATTGTTGAGAAAAGTTGATGATGAACAAGAAAAAACCAGCAACAGGAATTTCTTCAAAATGGAAGATTTGAACAAAATTATAAATTGCTGCCCTCAAATGATATTTGCTGTCACTGAGATAAGCGTTTGAAGACTTTAATAGCAAATTGATTGCAAGAGTAAACAAACTTTAATCCAAGTTAGTATCAAGCAAAACCAAACTTGGAAAGAAACTTTTAGGACAAACATATAAAACTTGATTTGATCTTTTGATTTTGACGTAGGCATATCAATTTGATGTTTTTGATATGTTTTCCAACATGGAAAGTATCACTATTTATAGAAAACCACCATGCACGGAAATGTGCCAAAAACAAGGCAAAAATGTGTAAAGTTTGATTACAAAAATTTAAAACCCCAAGAAGCAGTGCCCGCCCAATTCATCAAATTTACTTATGTAATTGCAACACAAGGTTGGACGATCTCCCAGCCACCTAGGCCATTTTTTTCGGCCTCCACTGTTTTTTATTCTCGTTTTGTTTTTGTTCATTTTTCTCATGGTTGACCACTTCCATTACTTCCGAAATTACTCATCATTTTTAACTTGAACAATATCCAATAATAAGTCATATATGATACATGTTCTAACCAAACTTAACATCGTAGTAAAACTTCCAACATCAAAATTTGATTCAATATGCATATAATACAAGGTAATTAATTACTAACTTCAAAAGATAATTTATGGTGAATAAACATGACAATATTTTTGGTCTATCAATATTTGATAATATTAATTGACTAGGGTTAAACGTTTATAAACCTGTAATGAAAAAGGATAAGAACATATCTATAATATATTAAATATCGTATGAAGTGAGAATTATTTTTTGGATGATTTTAGCCATACTACAATTTAATTATTTCAATAGTACCTTACTTTTCGTTTTTCAATATATATTTAATAGAATATTAATTATTAAACATGCACGTAAATAAATAATTGAATTGTACAAGAACAATCAAATTGATTCATGAATATGAAATTTAATTAATTTGAATCAATGAATATATAAAAAGAATAATGTATATACATTTAAACAAAGAGGGTGTAAGTGAACCAACATGAAATTTAATTAATTTGAAATAATAGATATATAAAAACAATAATTTATATACATTTAAACAAAGGCGTGCACATGAACCAATATGAAATTTAATTAATTTGAATCAATTAATATAAAAAAGAATAATTTATATACACTTAGATAAATGGCGTTATATCATAAATCAAATGAATAATATTGAAATTAAATAAGTGTGTATGGACTTGAATAATTTATCTATTCCTATAATAATTTAATTGCTCCCAAATTATATGATCTTTAATAATTTATATACTCTTGAATAATATTTATGATAAAATGAATAATCTTGAAAATAAATATGTGTTCATGCAATTGAATAATTTATTTACTCCTAAAATGATTGAATAGTTCTCAAAACATGTGTACATAAACTTGATGACTTAATTGAAGTTGAAGATTAAATCTTTTTGCTTCTCGTGCTCGCGTAAATATCTTCTAAAATCTCATTAAAACAACAAATAACAATATGCTTCTCCGGATTGAATCTCCTTATCACTATTTGAGTTTGCAATCTACGGAACACTTTATAAATGATTTAATTTATAAATAGATAGAAATAAGTCATAAATAAGTGGATAGTATTTTGTCGACCTTTATAATGTATGGTTGAAAATGAAGTTTAATAATTTATAAATGATGACTAAAATGAAAAAGAGTGGAAAAGCATTTTTTAACCTTATTTCTGGAAAAAAGAAAAGAAAAGTGTTTATTGGATTATCATTCCCATTAATATACCAGCTTGGCTCATTAATTGCCATTATGCTTTGATACAATGTTCTAAAACGTATAAAGCGTTGTTGTTGTTGTTATTATTATTATTATTATTATTTTAAATACTTAATCATTTTAACAATTATTTAATAATTAAAATACATACATACGAAATATCTAAAATTTCTACATTTTATATTTACTCAGTAATTTCTACAATTGATCAATTATAATATTTTTAAGTTTTCGAAATGTAAAAACTAGATTATTTTTCATAATTTTAACTTTCAACTATGCAATTCCTACTTAACAAATTTATAAAAACTTCATACTTACCTTCGATATTTCCAACAATACGATAAGTCTCAAAATTATAATTACATAATATCGATAGCACCGCGTCTTAAATATTATCTAAATCTTTATCTGATAAAGTCATTTTTTGACTTTTGTACCAATAAAGCCATTTAAAAACTTGGAATTAAAGTCAAATAAAAACCTTTAAAAAACTAAATAAAAATTTAATAAACTAAAGTCAAATAAAAGGTTTTTGAAAAAAAGGAAAAAAATTAAAAAAAATTTAATAGAGTGCGCCTAGGCGCGCATTAAGCGATCAAATTAGCAATTGGCTTCTTAATTCATGCTTAATGCCAAGACAAAACGTTTTACGTACACCTTGCGTCTAAGTGCGATTTTTAGAACAATACTTTAAAGAGACCATAATTTAGTTGGTCGAAGCAAAAAATCAATAGTTCCATAGAAAAAATTAAACACTCTAAGTCAATATCAATCAAAACAAGCATGGTGCTAAAAGTAGTGGTGGAAAAAAGTAATTCAATTATTCAATTTGAAGCAATAATATTAAAGCAAAACAATTTCTTTCATCGATAATTGACACGTGACTTGATTCGAATTGTTTGGCTTTAATACTACATATTTCACTTTTATATACAATTGACAAAATCCACATTAAAGTTCTCTTTTATATCGTCATATCTCCTGTTGTAAGTCCTAAGGTAAGACGACATATTCCCCCTCTAAATATATTTAGTTTTTATCTATATATGTAGAGGTAGAGCTATTGGGCATCTGTGGTGATATTAAAACCACAATGAAGTTACAATGATGTTTCAACCACCAAAAATAATAATAATAATAATAATAAAGAGAGAAAAAAAAAAAAACCAAAAATAATTTAACACGCTATTTGATCCACATTCTTACAAAAATTCATATTTTCAAAACTTATTTTCAACTACACATTATTCAATAAAATAACATTACAAGTTGTGTGTGGTCTGGTGGAATTCTGTGTGCACAGAATACAAGGTTCATCTCTCACATCATCATGCACAAGGGTCCCTTGAATTTTGTTGTAACTGTACTAATAATGCATGATTTGATAACCAACACATTCTATATAGACACCGACAAAGTTGTTCACATAATCACATTATAAATATTATAATCAATTATGTAGTAATTATTGTTGGTAGATGTTTAATTTTGTATGCAAGTGAGGTTTCTAAAGAGCTAGTTTGCCTTTCACTAAATCTCCTTATTTAAAGATCAAAAGTCAAAATTTTATTTTAACCACACATTTCGTAGGATTCATAACAACTACCCACTTATTTATTACTCATTTTTATTACCTTATAATTTCAAAAACTTATAATGAAACCCAAACAAGCTCTAATCTCATCATTTTTTGTAAAAGCTTCAAATACATACTTTTGTCAAATAGATGCAATATGTAGTATTTCAATGCCTGAGATGTGAAATAGTGTATAGTGACAATCTATTAGGTTAAATAATCATGCTATATGTACAGAAATTGTTGAAAGTCTTTTCGTAGATTGCCAGCCATCAAGATTTAATTGAATGTTGACAAAAAACATAGTTCAATCAGATAATGCAGTGTCACCACCTAGACATTTTATGCTTTTTGTACATTTCATCTGTACAAAAAGCTAAATTCTAGGCAAGGATGGATGTAGGGGGGCCTGGGCTAGGCTGTAGCCTAGTTCCAGTCCCCAACCCACTGAAATTTTTTTTTAGTAGAATGTGTAATTTTTTTTTCCTTTTAAGCATTAGCCTTACTTGTAATCCCGTCATGAATTCGTTTCTAATTCTAGTTTAAATGTGCCTAATTGAAGAACTCGATGCTTAATAGAGTGGATGCTAAGAGGACAACTTGTCCTTCTTTCTCTTCTATTTCTCTGTAAGCAGTTATGCTGTCTTTTTGTTACAAAAATAGAGAGAGGATCTGTGTCAGTCTTTACTTTAACATTTTGATGAAAGATAACAATATGTTGCATGTGAAGTTGTATGTTGAAGATTTAAAATACTAATGATGAAATTTTGTTGCATGCAAGGGTATGAGTTGAAGATCTAAAATACTAAAAAACACCTATGACTGCAGGTCTTGAGACCGTTGTGGTTACCTAGGTGAAATGCTAAGGTATATGGTGATATAATATTTGGTCTCAAGTTTAAACATTAAAATGCAGATTTAAAAAAAAAAATCGAATATTATTAAGCATAATATGAATTTATTTGATATATTTTAAAGTTTTAAGCTAGTAAAAGGTTAATTATCAGTTGGCAAAATATGATTACACAAAATAAAGCAAGTACAAAAACTCTTATGTGAAGAAGATAATTCATAGAGTTATTAGTTGCTACACATAAGTAAAACACTTAAAATTAGGTAATACACTAATACATTTTCTTTCAGGCAAAAGGTGCAATAAAAATAAACTTACAGTAGCCTACTTATCAGACATGTTGCTATAAATAATCTTTGAAAAAACAGATTCTGCTTTACGCAATTGCAATTTCAGGTGTAAGATTTCGATTTGAATATTTGATTGAAACTGATCCATCTTTAATTTAGAGGCCAGAAATGAAGGTGACACCTGTAGAGGGCAACCAAGATGTCCCGCCAATGAAATTAGCCACAGTGAATTTGGTGGCTTCTGGCCTTCCAATGACATGAAAACCAGGCCAATTTACTCTTCCAGAAGTTCTGGCCCCAGGGCCGATGTTTTCGAATTCAGCAAAGTAGAGTGTTTGGTAAGTGGAACCACTGGATCCTGGCCACTCCACCCAACCCCGGGATGAAATCACGGCATCAATTGTTGATTGCATCACAACTGCTCTTGAATATTTTTTCCAGGGCCGTCCCAAGTATGCACTTTTTGCAGCAGAATAATCTGATCCTCGGCTAATCCTGCAATTTTGGACAGAGAATCCAGTATTCTGTCCAGGGTCAGACCGGCCATTTGCCAGGATCACGTCGTAGGCCCCACCACTGCGTGGCTGGCGTAGGACCAAGTTACAGCTCTGGAACACAGCAACAGCGTTCCCGAAAATGAAGTCCACCGTACCATATATGTCACATTCGCGATAAAATTGGCGCATAGAGTGTGCATATAATGTGTCCTGGTAACCCACCAGGCTGCATCTGTAGAGTACAGAGTGGTCTGAGGCAACATTTAGCGCCACGGCTTGTTCCGCATTAGGCCCGGCCGTGTTCTGAAACCCAATGTCCCGAGCAATAAAGCCATCTCCAGTAATTGCTGATAAATGGAGAAGGGTCAATACTTGATATTATAATATTATCTCTCTCTCTCCCTCCCCGAAATTGACCTGTTTGCCAATCTGTACCTCTCTTCTCACAAATTGCTTGAAAATTACAAATATGAATGAAAAATCATAATCACTTGATATTTTTTTATTATTTTAGGTAGAGTTTGATTCCTGCTTGCAAGAATCCAGACAGGAAAACTTGAGAATTGTTATGTACAAAAAGATCGGTACGAAAACATGATAAGTACAAAAAGACGTCAATTTGTTTGTTACTCTCATGCGCCTGCACACACAGAGAGAGAGAGAGAGAGAGAGAGAGAGAGAGAGAGAGAGCTCACTAAATGTTGCAGACCCTCGAAGGGACGAGCCTCCATTACCAACATTACTACTACCAGAAATGATGGTTGAGTATTTTCCATCTCCAATTAAGGTAATTCCTTTCTTTTTGGTGTTAATTTTCTCACTGTAAACTCCAGATTTCACATGTATCACGAATCGGTTTCCAGTTGCAGCCTGGATGGCCTCAGAGATTGTTTTATAGTCCCCCGTCCCATCTTTTGCCACAACAGCATTTGCTTTTATTTCTGTACTTTGCAGCAGTTTCCTGTCACTGGCTGATACCCAACTAGGGAAATTTTGTTCGTCCATTAGATGCCGGCCTGAAGGTGTTTTGGTGCTGGTCTTTCTAGTAATTCGGTTCACCAGGGCAAGTGGATTACTAACCAATTGTGAAAGATAGTCCATTTTCTTGGAAATATCAGTCATGAACACATTTGATGGAGCATGAACCTCTGCTTCATCCTTGCAAGTTTGTTGAAATGTCAAGGCAGCACTCAACCATGTCTGGATGTCAGATTTATGTTTTATTGGCGATGCCTTGAGTGCGTCCAAGGCTTGGTTGAGTCGTTTGAGTGACATTCCGACCAGCTCATGACAATAGTCTATATACATTCATAGAAAAACAAAAACAATAAAAGATGTTATACGAGCTCAAAATTATAGCTAAAAGGAAATTATAACAGTGGAAAAAGAGTAAGTTAAAATAACAGCTATAAGTACCTATAGCCATTCGAGCATGTTGGGCCTCTTGAGAAACAAAATGGACACTGAGTTGCTCAAAGTTAGAAATGGGCAGCTTGGATTCATAGATTGTCTTGTTAACAAGGACAGACATGAAATCGGCTTGATTTCTAGAGCCTGATTCTGTCAGAGTTTCTGCACACAAGCTTGGATGTCTGGTGAACCCGCATTGAAGTCCTATGTCCGCTTCATAAGGTTGTTTTGCCGACCAGGACGCACTACACAAACTTAATATTACTAGTATCAATAATAAACCACATTCTAGGGTTGCCATTTTCCAAAACAGGAAAAATGATAAATCGATTTAACCCCAAAAATTGTATTTAAAGTAGGATTTGTTGTGGGTTGAATTAAGGGGATTTGTTTAGCTTTTTATAGGGAGGTTTCTTGGCCATGCATCTTGAACATTTATTGTGTTAGCTTGGATGTCAATTTCTTTGAGAGAGGTACCTACTTGGATGCATGTAGTTACTATTCATCTAATGACTTCATTATTGTGGATAACTAAGCTTCTATTTGACCCCACTTTTTATAATATATTTTTCCTTTGTTTTATATTTAATCATATATTTTGTTGTGGTGTAATCCAAATTCCATGTGATTTGATATTTGGTTGATTGGATTTCATGTGATTTGGGAATTGGTTGATTGGAGGAAGTCTAAAGTTTTTGGGTTTGTAACGTCCTAAGTTGTGGAGATTAAATTTCAATAATAATTAGGAGTTTGACTTGAAAAATAACTATTGGATGGCAAAAAACATGTTTCAAAACGTTAACCTGAAGCCTAGCGCCAGACGCTACCATCATGGCGGCTAGGCGCCAAGATTTGAAGCAATAAGAAAAAGGAGACAGTGGCCGCCAAGCACATGCTCAGGTGCTGCAACAGTAACGCCTAGTGCCCAAGCGCTGAAACAGTAGCTCCTAGGCATTGCAATAGTAACTGATGTTCGCGATTTTTCCGTTTTATCTAGATTTTCGAACTTATTCTCCATTTTGGACTCCAGTAAGAGGGTTTATATATATATATATATATACTTCCACATTGTATCTCTATATTGTAATATTCTCATTATATTCTCTACACATTCAACAACATATTGAGAGATTGAGATTTTAGATTTCAATTGAGATTATTGGAATCTTGATATTGTAAATACAAAACTATTGATTATAGTGGATTATTCTCATCTGTCGTGATTTTTTTCGAATTGGGTTTCCACGTAAATTCTCGCGTTCTAATTTTCTTCTTCATTATTTTATTATTGCCATTATTAGATTGATATTGTAGTAAATACAAAATTATTGATTATAGTTGATTGTTCTCCTCTGTCCGTGATTTTTTCCCGAATCGGATTTCTACGTATATTCTTGTGTTCTTATTTTTTTCTTCATTATTTCATTATTGCATTTATCTTGCGATCCATTTCATAACACATTTTATGGGATCCACAATTTTATCAACTTTTCAACCATATATTTCATTAATTTTTACTAAAATTTGACTTTTAACCAAACGAAACATAGGCTAAAGAAGACTTTTTAAATAACTTTATATTTTAAATTCCTCACTATCCACTTCATGGTGGATAAACATGGTATTTTAGTGGAAATCCTATGAAAATTGGCGCAAATGGTCCCAATTGTTTTTGTTCAAATTGCTTTTTGGTCCAAACCTTTCAAATGTGATGCAAATGGTCCCAAATCTTTTCATTTTTGGCCAAATGGTCCTTTGGATGGAATCCATCAAAAAGGCCATTAGTTTTGTGCATGCAATGTGATTTCTTTATTTTATTTTTATTTCGAGCGGATTACTAAGTATATTTAGTGACCTTCACATTTCCTAAAACTTGAAGTACATAATTTGGATTGAAGGATGAAAACTACTACAATCCAAGTTACACACGTTGGGTTTTGATATCCAAAGAATCCCGAGCTATGATATAAACATTAGATTAAATTGTTACTAACAACCAAGTGCAAAGACTTGATCCGAAAATAACGTGGGCTGTTGAAAGTAGTTTAAAGGAATTACATTGCTCATGGTCCATATATATGTGGAAATTACACCCAACCCTATATTTCAAGATCCAACTTCAAAAATCAGGTACAAAGTTTACTTATTCAAAAATCAGATATTTTTAATTAATTAATATATATGAAATAAATATTTTACTAATATAACAATTCAAAACTAATTCGTCTACCACACATCCCTAACCCTAATTCTCTCATCTACCCATCTCTTTCTCTCTCTTTAACCCTCTTCTCCCATCTCTTTTCTCTCTCTATCCTTCATCTCCTATTCTCTAATGAAAATACCACAGTCGTCGTCGCTGTTGTGATGCCACCACCGCCGTCGCTGGTATAACGATCTTTCCTCCTCACTTCTCAGTTTCCATTCTTCTCCCTCATCAGTCGTTACGATTGTGAGCCGCATTGGGAGCTGCAACGTCACAATCGGAGCTGCAGTGGTGATGCCCACAATTGGGAGCGCTACGCGCAGTGGATTTTAATCTGATTTTGCACACGATACAGTGGTTGGTTTTTGCGCAAATCTGACTTGAAAATGGTGGTTGTGGTGGTGGTTGAAAATGATGGTGTAGATGGTGACAATGGTGGAAGTGGTGACGACTGCAGTGAGGTTAGGTGTTGGCGATTTTGTATCTGATTTTTTGGTAGATCTAGCAGGTGGAGGTGGTGGCTGTGGCGGTTTTTGGGCTTTTTTTTTTTTT